CCACAGCCCTGATGCTTCCTGGGCCCCAGGCAGCTTCGCCTTCACCTGGTGCCTGCGTGACTGGAGAAGGCGAGGATGGGGCCGCCCCTGACTGCGGGGCCCGTAACGGACATGTCTCCTCTCGTTGCAGGAGGAGATGCAGAACAACGTGGAGGTGGTGCATACCTACCGCCAGCACATCCTTAACGACATGAACCCGGGCAACCTGCACCTATTCATCAACGCCTACAACAGGTGCGGTGTGCGGCCGCACGGCCAGCCCACCGGCTCCCTTCGCAGGACGGGAGCGGGGGTGAGGCAGTGGGGGTCGTAGTAACTACAGGAGTGGCAGCCCCTGAATTAGCACATGGAGCAACAGGACGGGGTGCCCTTGGCCAGGTGTCTCCTGGAGTGCTGAGCGCTTGGCCAGGAGCCGGGCTACCACTCCACACCCGAGGGATGCCTACACGAGTGGGACCCAGTCACACCCTCAGGGCTGGGAGTACGTGCCTGCGGCCATGGTGACCCTAGGAAAGGACAGGTGTGAGGAAGGTGTGAGGACAGGTGTGGGCACAGATGTGAAGACAGATGTGGGCACAGATGTGAGCACAGATGTGAGGAGAGCTGCGAGAGAAGCAAAGCACTGGGGATGGGAGGAATCCAGGAAGGCTGCTGGGAGGGCGTGTCATTGCCATAATCTGTAACGCCTGCACACGGCCTCTGGCAAGGACGCAGGCCTCTTACCCGTAACTGGGTGCCTGTCCAGAGCTCAACTGGAGGAGGGCAGCTTGGGGCCACGGGTGCGAGCCCGAAGTTCTGGAACTCAGGGAGCTCGCTCAGCCTGCCGAGCCAGCGCTACCCGGCTCCCTCGGAGGGGCCAGAAGTGAGCTCACGGGCTCTGTCTCCTCCTCGAATGGCCCATGGCAGGACCTCCTGGCTTTGGCTCAGTGGGAGGGCTTCCCCGGTGGATGGGGAGGCCCTGCTGATGTAATTAATGGTGCTTTCTTCTGCCCTCTGTAGCCGGCGGGACCTGGAGATTGAGCGGCCGATGCCGGGAGTGCACACGGTCACCCTGCAGTGAGTTGCTTTCTTCCCCGTCTCTGTCTGGTTTGCTTGGCGCCCAGGTGCCCCCACGGCCTTCTTTCCGAGTTTGGGAGGACTTCTCTGTGCCAGGACATCGCCATCAATGAGATCCAGATGTGTGCCCCCCCTCCCCCCAGGGCAGGGCACACCCAGTCTCACTCTTCTCCTTGTGCAGGTGCTCAGCTCCCGGGTGGCCCCGAGACCCAGGGTGGAGCTTGGGGCTCAGAGAAGTGCTGACTGCACTTTGGACAGAATTTATTGAGCACCTACTTTGCGTTAAATACTGTGCCTGCCTTGCCTCACAGTGCCTGGGGATGAAGGGGGCGTGGGACCCACCCTAAGCGCCCTCCTAAACCAGGGGGAGAAGACAGTCTCGGAAACAAGCAGCTGTGTCCCCCGAAAGTGACTGTCATTGTTTGGTTCCTTGAGGGAGCCGTGTTTTCCCACACTGCACTCGGCACGTGCCATTTCCTCGTCAGCTTCGTCCTTGGTGTCTCTGAGCTTGATGGCTGACCACGTCCTGCTCAGCCTTCCTTGAGGAGAGGGTGTTTAAAACAGAGGAACATCAGAGCATAGAAAGTCTCCGGTGAAATTCATACTAAAGTGTAAATGACTTACCGATCGAGTTTATTCTAAGAACAAAGCAGAGGATGGAGGGAAATGAGCCAAGGGCCCTGGAGAAAACAAAATAATGTTGCGAGGACCTTGGCAGGCCTGGGAGTGTGCGGGTCTTTCAATGAACCGTGTGTTAAGCCCCCGCCCCCCTTTCTCCCTGCCCCCAGGTGTCCTGTGTTGCTGGTGGTTGGGGACAATTCTCCCGCCGTGGATGCTGTGGTACGTAGACACCACCCACTGGTTTTTGTGCTGAATTCAGCATCCACACCCTCCCCATCTCTCTCCTTTCCTCCGCCATCCGGGCCGGTGACGTCTTCTAAATGCCTCATGGGCCTTTGGGCAGAGGCCCAGCCACC